TTACAGAGCTACAAGGCAGCAGGACATGAATGATCTACAAGTCTGGAGCCAAAAATTAGGTTGCTAGTCTTGTCGAATGCCAAATGTAACTTCCCCCTTTCCCCTAGCTCTCCTCTGTCGTTCAAAGGATGCTTGTGTTTTGCACCATGGTGCACTAGGCAAGCTTTGTAACTAACCTTTCATCAGGCCTAGCCTGTTTTGAAATATAAGGTTGGCACTCAGCCACCTTCTTTTTCAAACAAGTGTACGGGCTCGACTGGCTAGCCACGCATGCATGCGAGCAACTTGTTGAGGGTTCGAATCCCCACCGCCCGAGCCAAGTTATGGCACCAATTCTATGTATGACACATGTTTTGCTATTAAACTGACTTTTCTCGTCAAGTTTAAGCATCGATGGTGTAATTGGCTCGAAAGTTAAAGGGGACAAACAAGAAGATCTAAACATGAGCCCCAAAAGACACCCTAGATGTCACAACATCAATCTCTGGCCTTCCGCATCTGGTTGTCGTTTCGACGTCGCGGGATAGACGGGAGGGGATTATCGTCTCTCATCCTTTATGTAGTAGGTTTCGTCTTGTGGCGACATTGTTCCAATGGTGTCATCTCGAATATGGAGTAGCCTCCAAAAAGTATGGCGATGGAGGATCGAGCGTGTTTTAGAAAAGGAGGAAGACCCCAGGCCTCTACATCTGGATGATGCATACAACCATTTTATTAATTATTAACACAAGACCTTACAAAGTCATACAATGGTAAGACTAAAGCCACCGTCTAAGCAACATCTGTTGCTACTCCTATCCAGTTGATGAAGGGGCACTGATAGTCTGGGCCTAATACCAAGCAAACCTCGCAGCCAAACCTAACATCTAAGACCTGAGGTCCCAACCAGGACGCCTGCCGGGAATGGGCACCCACCAGTCCGGCGTGCTCCTCAACCAGGACGCCTGCCGGGTATGAGGCCGCCGCAACCACCTGCCACCAATCCATCTTCAGAGCTATACTGCTGCATCTACCTTGCCCGGTGTAGCTGCCGCCGACGCCACCACGACGCCAGACAACGTCACCCTCTTGCGCGAGTCCATCTTCGCGTATCGGGCACCGAGTCTCCACTGCGCCACACCCCCGAGATCCGTCATCGTCAATGGGCAAGATGAATCACCACTCCTCCTCTTGTCCCCTCCAACCAGAACTTGCTCCAAAACGATGCCCCAGGAGGGAGAACGACACCAAAGCCGCCATCGTCGTCTGATCCGGTAGACCCAGATCTAGGGTTTTCCCCCAGAACTTCCCGATCAGGTTGACATGACCTGCAACGACGATGTCTCGAGAAGGGAACGACGTCCGAGACGTCGCCATCGTCCGCCAAGACCGCAGTCAGGCGCAATTTTCACCGGAAGCCACGTCGTCCCTATCTTGTGGCTGGCTGGAACCGGGTGGAACCTCGCCATGAAGATGTATGGTGCTGTCGGAAAGCCGGTTGAGGACCTCCGGCTGCCCCACCCCGTCCCCATCATGCGCCGCCGACCGGCCATAGCCGAACCACGACGGATCTGGTCGGGACGCCAGATCCACGGCCACCGCCGCGCCTATCGCATAGCGGAGAATCCGACGGAGGACCTCACCATCCCTGGGTTTGCCGGTTGCCGCCGCACAGCCAGGACGCCATCGTGGCTGCTGCGCGAAGACACCCCGCACGAGGCGCCCCAGTTGCCTGATGGGAGATCCGTCGCTTCCCTCCTGCCCTAGCCCTTTAGGCATCGGGCGCCGCCGCCACCACCGCCAGTGCCGGCGGCAGCGGCGGCAGAGATCTGCCTCGCGGGAAGGCTGGCGGCGCGAGGAGTCGGTCCCCCTGGCGTCGCCCTGGGTGGCGGCACGAGGGGGTCGCAAGAGGGAGGAGGGGGTCGCGAGAGGATGTTGTTTGCGAGAGGATCGGAGCATCGAGCGTGGGATGAGATTATGCTAGACCTGCTTTTTCGGACAAAATCGCCATATGAGCGGTTATTGCAATGATGGGGTCGTTAATAGCGGCTCTCCTAGAGTTGCTCTAAATATCTCTTTTGGATGACACATATTTAAATCCGGACTTCTTGAAATGGATTCCATTCATGTTATTAAAGAATTTGTTGGAGAAGCTTGTGATTGTATATGTCAACGGTAACAATAAACTGTCCTCACCCCTTCGTGCGATTGATGTAAATCATGACTTTCTGGGATGCTTTTGAGTTCACTTGTCAAGCTCCATATCAGATTTAATAGTGAGGACAATCTGTACGTTTTGCTGGACCTCGTTGATATGAGTAGATGCTATACTTGCCGAAACACACTAGCTAGAAACGGTGTTGATGAACAAACTCCACGTCGTTATAATCAGTTTACTCATTATTTAATCAATAGTAGCAGCCAAACCTCCACAGTCCACAAAGTCGGGCGTCTGAATGGGCTCCAATGACGGCGGAGAGGTCGCAATCGACATCACCAAGTTTCCTCCAAGCGGCCCCATCTCCTTAGGAAGCACCATCGAAATAGGCGAAGTAGGCTCCCCACAAACCTTCTGAAGCTCAGGCATAATCTGCAGCACCGGAGCCACGACCTCGACAACAACTTCACTCCCAGAAGTAATCGGCACGGCAGGCAACGGCAACCGACAGGATGTAGCACGAGGGGAGAGATCTCCATACATGCATGCTTCCCCATCGGCAGAACCAACCTGAATCTCGGGCAGCAAGGACACATCGGGCACAACCCCAATCTGAAGCTCAGGCAGCGAAGACACATCCGGCACCACCTCTAGTTAGGCAAGAGCGGCCTCCGCCCTCCCCAAAACATTCCCGGCTCGCACTAGGCAATCACGAAGCTCGATGCGAAGCAGCTCGGTCTCCTCCGCCAACCCAACTTGCTCAGTCGAGATAGGTTGGAACTGCACATCTGTCATGGAGACATCATCGATGGATGCAGGTGATGGAGCAGGACATTGGAGTGGTGAAGCATGGGCATGCTTCTCAGCACGGCAGAAGCGGGCGATGTGGCCGGATCGAAGACAATCCGTGCATCGAATTGGATCCCTACAAGAGTATGCTCGGTGACCTCGATAGAGGCACCGAAAACACCTGTCTCTCAGCCACGCCGGAGGGGGACTCCGCACATTGACAGCAAGGCGACGAAAAGCAGCAGGAGCCGAGCGGCGCCCTCTCGAGACGAGCTGCCAACCTCCCAAAGCATTCTCGCATGGAGCCATAGGAACTGTTGACGCCGCCACCCGGTCGAAACATCCTCGCCAATTTCCCCAGCCCGGATGCACCGGAGGCGCCTGAACGACGAGCCCTTCGCTCGCAACAGAGGCGAGAGGAGCTGAAGCTGCGTCCAGAGAGGCCGCCACTCCCCCCTCGCCATGGATGATGGAGCAACGGGAGACATGCGTTGAGCCGAGCACAGCCGGAGCCGGTCGAGAGACGGGATCCAGATCCGCCTGATCTGGATCGAGTGATGGGGAACCGATGGGGCTTGTCGCCGGTGGCTTTAGTAGATGGTCGAAGGCGGCACCAGCAAAGCAGGCGGGGGTGACGGACGGCTGGGCCAAAGAGCTCGCCGCTGCAGCCGGAGCGGAAGCCGCTGCAGCCTTCGGGGAACACGGGCGGGAGACCTTCCGGCCGTCGTTCTCCAACCGGAGCCGACAGGCCGGAGGCAATGGCCGCGGGTGCGGGGTCGGAGGCGCTGGCAGCGTGGCCGTCGCCGGTGGGGTCTGGTGGAGGGGCGCGGGGGCCGCGACAAGGTGGACGGGGGCGGCGGGCGGCGGAGGTTGGTTGGTCGGCGCAGGGACGAGGCGCCCCTGCATGGCCGGGCCAGCCTTGCGTCCGGCGAGGAAGGCCGCGGCGAGCGCGGTGGCCAGAGCAGGGCGGTGAGCGACGGGGCCGAAGCGGCCGACGATGATGACGGCGCAGCCGTCGCGGACATGGGGCCGCTGCGGACGCGGCTTCCCGCAGCTTCCACACGGGCTGCTCGGGCACGACGAGCAGCAAAGCTGGGACGGGCGGCGAGCGCACGGGGCGGAGCTTCCAGATCCGGGGCCGCCGGAGGCAGGGGAGGTTGGAGGAAGGAGATCAGCCCGGCAGCGGCGCCGCGCGGTCGCCCGTCGCGGGCGTGCTCATGTCGCGGTCCGCAGTTTCCTCATGACCTGTATTGGGAGTTTTGGCGTCTGCAGGTGATGAGGTAGGTGCTTTGGCACCTAATTCTGAGGTGACGAAGCCCATGCGGTCGCCCATCTTTGACCGTGATGCTATGATGGCACGTATTGACGAGGTAGTCTTTCTGAAAAAGCTTGGCCGCTTGCTCGCCTCCTTGGAGGTAGCTTCTCCTGGGTGTGGCAAGGCGATTGCTTGCCTCCTAGCGGAGGAGGTTTCTACGGGCAAAATAAAGAAGGTGAAGAAGGCTCTCCGGACCATAGGCAAGAAGAGTGGTGTCGTTGGTAAGGCGTCAGCGGCTGCTTAATGAAGGATACTCAGTCCCTTTGTCCTCCATCTCCGTGGATTTGGTGGCGTTTAATGTATGCAACCTTGGTTTTGTTGGGGGTTTCTTTGAGGCATAGAAGTGTGAGGGTTCATGATTGTTACATGTTATGTGTATTTGTCGGGTTGATAGTAGGGTTATGGAGTTTGGTTCTTAGCGAGTAGTCCGCATGTGGTCTATATGTATCAGTTTTCGCCCGGTTTTTCGTTAATTAACTGGGCAATTCTCTTCTTCTTAATTAATCGATGAGGCAAATCTTTTGCTTCCGTTTTGAAAAAAAATTTATTTAATCAATCAGTACAAAATTATATTCTTGTATCAAGAGAACATTGAGAAAGAGAATTACGAGTGCGAATTCTCCTAGACACGTCGCGCTAGGAGAAAGTGGCCATGCTCGATCAGAGCTGTGGAAACGCCTCACAATCTTCAGTTTTATGCTTAGGCTTAAGGGAAGAAATGTTCTAGTGGGCGGCCGTCAATGAGTTCGCTTGCTTTGCTTAGCAGCACAGTTTGGCGCGCAAGTCGGCCGCGTCCACCTCCTTGGGGGCCCCCGACGGCCGGTAGTACCCGGTCACCGGGTCCGGCACCCACGCCGCCTTCTCCGCGCTAGCGCCCACTTCCTTCCTGGCCGCCATTGCGCTCTTCGCCGCGACAGCGGTCTTCTCCTCGGCGGCGGGGGCGCTCCTCCTAGCTCCCTTCACCATGGCCGCGGCCGCGGAGTAGCCCCTCCTACAACGCACGATATCAGCAAAGAACCATCAGTACAGAATGACAAAGTACTACACGTGAGACAGTGTTAGACATACACCCTCTGTCTGGAAATACTCGTCAAAGAAATGTATAAAAATGAATATATCTAGAACTAAAATACGTCTAGATATATTCATTCCTTCGACGAGTATTTTCGGACGGAGGGAGTAGTACATAACAAGGTTCTATCTAAATGCATCCCGTATATATGACGGCTAAAAGCTGACCTTTGTGCGAGAAGGCTGACGCAGCGCGATGCAACTCTCTCCATGGGGATCAGGATATGTTCTCTTCTCTTCTCTTCTATTTTCTCTCGATGTGCTCTCTTGTAAAATGTCTCTAAAATTATGTGCGATGTGAGGAGGAAGCGTGCGGGGAGGGCCTCGTTATATAGACCATGAAGCGAGGAGCTCGAACTCTGAGAGCCACGGAAGGGGTTGGATACGAAGGCTCATGGAAGACGGCCATACGCCTACCGAATCAAAGGTCGTTGGCCACGTGTAGGCCAAGGCGGCGGGGATACCGGTCTCTGGAATCCGTGGCGGCCAAGTTGGCCTGTAGGTGGAGGAGCCACCACGGCCATGTGTTGTAGACCAATTCGCTGGCCAACCACCAGAACCAGAACCAGGGGAAAAGCCACGACAACTTTCGCGTCTCCTCTCGCCGGGAATGGAATTTCGATAGATTTTTGTATTGTCGTGGCCACTGTTCAAAGGTTCGTTCGTTCGGCGCGCCAACACGGATCGCACGCCGGACCGGCAGGTCCATTCAATGTTGCCTCCAAAGGTTCGGTGTCACGCTCGAACAGATGCTACAACCTAAGATGTGTGTCACGAAAAAGCATCGTAGCAGTATGTGCTTTTGTTCGGTGCGCGCCCATCAGCCCATGCGAATATGCGGCGCGGAATTAACGGCTTCTTTGTAAGAGATTCAAAATGTTTTTTTAGGTAAGAGATCCCGAATGTTAGGCGACTGCACGGCCCGGGAATTCCTGGACTTGTTCTTTTAGGCGCTCACGTACCGGTCGGATCCGCCGCCTTTAGAGCCGTTGGATCTTGCGCCACAACCGTCCGATCTACCCACGGCAGTCGTTCACGGCGATCCATCCGTTTGCAACATGAGCCATATTGCGCTCATCGGTGTGACATTACTCACGTTGTGTTGAGGAAAACATTCATGATGGTCCCTATCGTGTTATCTGACCACGATTGTAACATGAGAAATGTTGCACTTGTCGGTTGCAACATGGATCATATTACGCCGGGGAAAACATTCGTGGCAATTCACCGCTCTGTTATCTGGCCCATTTACAACATGAGTTGTGTTGTGTTTGTCGGTTGCAGTATGACCTATGTTGCGCTCTGTACCGGAACATTTGCAACACAACTCGTGTGCCACCATGACATATGAGAGATTGCAACCCCCGATGTCCTCAACAACCCATCGTGCACGCAACACTAGTAGTAACAAGCAGGCTTGCGTCGGCCTCAAGCAGCACGGGTCACAGACTTTGCAACACACCCACCAGCACAACCCGCACGGTCGCCAGCCAACGGATCGAAATAGAACCTTGTAACACTGGCCTCAACTCTAGCACCTCCGAGCAGCTTCCTTGCAGTGATGTGCCAGAACGACCAGCCCGACCGCCAACTGTTGGTATTTTGATGCCTAACCAATAGGGCTGCGTTGGAAGCAAGTCACATTATCCTCTGCCCTTTGTTTTATCATAACACCCTCTACTCCATCACTCTCCGAGCGGCATACTTGCAACACCGGCCTCCAGTTGAGGCCCTCTATGGGACTGTTAACTAATGGATGTGGCGAGATGCGAGGGGATGAGAGAGATACAACCGATGCAGAGAGGAAGGAGAATGGGTGAATGTTCTCGTGCGTAGATAAGGCTAGGGATGAAGATAAGCAGTCGGTAGGCCAGGGGGCATAAGTCACGCTCTCGAGGAGGCCGACGTCGACGCTTGCGAGTGTTTCCCTTTTTAGGGAGAAAATCCAAAACTTATTGCTCCCTTGTGCGTTGCCCGATCCTGAGTTCTTGCATGCCAACTGATGCATCACTCTTGTTGAGCACTGCTTAACATCATGTATCTTTTAAGGAACCCGAAAAAGTATATTAATCAAACGACATCATTGTAAGAAAACCCCTAAAACAAAAGAAAAAATCTAGTCCTCGGTGAATCGTCCATCCTCTTCATCACGCACATGGTAATGGTGCACTATTGTAGTTGTCGCCTAAGTTTTGCGCCATCATTAAAAAAGTAATATCCACACACGCAACTGGGAAGACATCGATCTCTGCTGGGAAATACCAGCAATGTTGATCCTGTAGGATACGCGGACCGGAAAGTACGATGATGAGTCACCAGACTTGCGGCGCCGGGGAGTGTGCCTATGGTCAGTTCTCAATTGCCGTCCCACATGTATGTGCAAATGCAATATGACGTGTGTTCCATTCGGAGAGCAGTGTGCCAGACCGACCGACCGTCTGGGGTGCGACGCGAACGCGACGGGCGTGTTGTATACTCCGTACATGTGTACCACCGTTTTCTAGACGCCTTGCTCCATGGATACAAAATCAGTATACTGTATACTATTTAAAAGTCGAGGGCAGGGCTTTTCCTGCGCGATAGGCGGCGGGGCAGTTCCGCCTAGTCGGTTCGACAGAGACGCGAGAAGACGAGGGAGTAGGCTGCTGCAAACGTAGGGCTGTGTGATTTGACAACGAGTTACTGCTGCACAGGTGGGGCCCCGTGATTTGACTTGCCATTATCATTTTAACTACAACGCTACGACCGGCGTGAGTCTCCCGATTCCTGACCACCTCCATACAGGTGCCTCTCCCAATGCTCCACCATGTAGTAGAGGCTGGCTCTTGCATGAGAGCCCACTTCTCTAATTTTTCCTTGCCTCTCTTTCCTCCACATATGCAAAAATGCCATGTAAAGCGCACTATTGTACTTACTTTTACTTGCTCCTACAGGTGTTAAGCTTGCCACATAGGCATAAAGTCTGATGTGGCAAGTTAATCAAGAAGAGAGAGACTAGTTTGGTGACCCAAGAAAGAAACGGTGCTAAGCGCGTGTACCTAGGTGAAAAGACAATTTTGAGTCTATAGCTAATTAAATGAAGCAAACTTAGCAACACCATTTCATTGGAAGAGGTCACTCCTTGGCAAATGCAATAAATACTAGTACTCCCTGTGTCCTAGTGTCAAAAACGTTCTTATATTATGGGACGGAGGGTGCACTTCGGTGTGCTGCCATTGTAGAGAGTTTGTGGGTGTTTGCGGAGTTCGTCTTTGTTGGATACAAGGCATGGCCTCCGTTCCTATGTCTGGGGGCTCTTGTTTCCGGCACAGATGATGTGCCATGAGTTGTTGGGTCTGGTTTTTGCCGGTTTCCCATATTAACCGCGCGTTGTATGGTTTTCGGGTCCGGTTTCCCTATTAACTGGACTGTTTTCCCTCTTCTATAATGCAAAGGCAGAGCACTTGCCGTTCACGTCAAAAATTATGAGACGGAGGGAGTACGAAGAAAGAGATAGAGAGGATTAAAAAAATAAATACACTTATAGCCAACCTTATAGCTAACCTTGTTGTAGTATGAGTGACTAAGTGATGACTATGTATGACATGCCAACTCAGATAGTCTAACGCACTGTGTTAAATCTCCAAGGGCGCGGCCGCGCGAGCTACGCGACGGTCGTGGTAGGCGCGACCATGATACGGGATGATGGCAGCCCTTGGATCTGAGATCAAAAGGTCGCATGCTAAGTTGCTGAAAATTTGCAGAATAACCCTCCAAGATAGGATATTCACCCATAGGTCTAGAATCACGCCATGCAACCATTCGTTCTAAGATCCAAGGGCTCTCGGAAGCCTGTGTCATGGGAGAATGGAAAGCCACTACCCTGCCGTTCACACGTTGGTAGTTCGCTCCTACTCGTCCCCGCATGTCCTTCAATACTACGGCGGTTCGCTCCTAGTCGTCCCGTCCATTCACATTACGGCAGTTCCACTAATCCTAACCCTCCTCCCAAATCGATGCCATCCCAAATCTCCACGATCGGCGGTGAGTACAAGGTTAGAACCATCACCGGCGATGAGTTCGACGTCATCTACACCCGTTCTTCCGCGATGGTGAAAGGATGCCTTTCTCGCTTCAGACGCATGTTCAAAGACTCAGATGATGAGTGGGTCGCTGGGCTAGATGTTGAGTACACCATAGTCCTGGGACGAGAGAAGGATCTAAAGGATGAAGAGAGGAAGAAGCCCGTCGTGATCCAGGTTTGCGTGCATGACTTATGCTTGGTCTACCACATATGCCATGCCGATGTTGAGTGCCAGAATTTTAAGAACTTCCTCGAGAGCAACCTAGTCAAATTCGTTACTGTAGACTTTGGTAACGACAAAGAAGTCCTGCGTCGGATAGGCCTCGTTGTAGGCAACACCTTCGACCTCCAGAAGAATCGGCTGGTGTCTTCTCGTCAGCCTTCAATGCTGATCCTGGCAGGAGCCATGGTTCATCCTTCGTACGGTAAACTGGAGAAACCTCCATACACGTTTCATCGTCATGCATGGCAGCGAAATGTACTAGATATAGACCACATCCACTACGCTGCAATGTATGGCTACCTTTGCTTCAATATCTACAAGGGTTGGATGAAGAGCAAGAGCCAAGTGTGTGGTTCAAGCAAAGAAGTATCGGACAAGAGGAAGAGGGACAAGGACGAAGTCGAGGACGTGGCGAGGACTCCGAGTAAGGTGGCAGTGTCGTTGCTCATGGTGGTTCTAATGCAGTGTCTACTAGAATAGTTGCAAAGTTTAATTTCAGGTGTGCTTAATTTAATTTGAGGGGTGTGTTGTGCTGAGCCCCCAGCAGAACTATGTTATATTTCTTCTTGTTACTTTAACTCTTCAGTACGTACATACTATTATTTCTGACATTTCATCTTTTAGTTGGTATAGTACTACCACTCGTTTCTTCACATTATATATATACAATATATATGGCCAACATCATATAGCCAGCAGTTTAGTTGTCAAAGAATTTCACGGTGCTTAGTTTTGTCAAAGAATTCCAGGGTGCTTAGTTTTATTTGAGGGGTGGGTTGTGCTGGACACCATTATTGTGACTAGCCTTTTTAATAGTACTATATGCATAATTTGGCGACGAGCGCTCTCTATATGTACCACCTTTTTTAATTTCAAGTTTTGCTCCATGGCGCAATCCATCGATACTACTGTTGTACAAAAGTATA